ACTTTTGTATAAATAGGAGCCTTGGGTGCTCATTTGTAATCATCCCTTAAACACTCAACTTTCAGAATCTCTAGTTTATATTTATGCAAGTGAAGCTCTTGAAATTTCTTTAAATATTGTTCTTCGTTATGAGTTGTTGTAGCATCGTTCTTTATTTATTTATCTTTCTTGTCATTTAATTTTCGCTCTTTACTTTCTGTCATTTAGTTTCAGTTATTTATTTTCATGTCTTTACTTTATGTTATTTATATTTTATGTCATTTATTTTCCGTAATGAGTAGCTTATTTCATTATCTTGGGTGTAAGATAAAGGGTGAAATGCTAAACCGAATGAAAGTGGACGTTGTTTCGTAATAACAATGTTCCACTATTTCATTCAAGTTTTATAAAACCAAGTACACTTTTTGACGAGTTGATCACTTTTTGAAAGTGTTAAAGTGCCAAGGACTTAGAGATAAGCCATTAAATGCACGTCAGCTTAAATGATATGAGAGGTAGACTTGAGAAAGTTGTCGACAAAGAGACTTGTCATTTATGTCTTTCAAACTTAACTCCTGACAGGTTGGTCACTCTTTAAAAGTGTCAAAGTGCGATAGATTCAGAGATGAACTATCTAAAATAGACGCCAACTTGAATGATATAGGAATCGGCTCGAAAGAGTGATTTTTAACAAAGAGATTTGGTTATCCATATATTTTGAAGACACCATTTTGTCACTATCCCTGGTCTGATCACCACATAAAGATATGGGTGTAAAGCTATAATATAGTGCAAAGGTGAAGTCCGAGAGGAATACCTTCAAAATAGATGGTAGAACTAGTTATACCTTACTGCATGCTGTAGCATTTCTACAGCATTGTCTGCTAGAATTTGCGTTTACGTTTCATCTCAAGTCTTAAACCCTTGCTACCCTTTATATTCTATTATATTGTCATTGTTAACTCAAAATCAAACTGAAGTCTTCAATTTCATCATCTGAAATCATTTCTTTCATTAGACTCTTATCAGACTTTTGCTACAATCTCCGTGGACGATAACCGGTATTTTTACCACTTTATTACTTGGAAAGACGATATTGGGCCGTATTGTATACTTGCTTTGTGGCTCATTTTCTTTGTTTAAAGGTGTGCAATATAACCTACCAAGTTTTTGGCGTCGCTGCTGGGGATTGGCAAGCTAAACGTTTTCTTTTGAGTAAAGTAAAAGCTTTGATTTTTCTTGTACCATTTGAGTCATCTTGAAAGTGGTGTATGCCACAGATACATCATAGAGAGTTTCTTGAATTTGACCCCGATATTGAGAGAACGTTTCACCAAAGAAAGAGGGCTCTAAGAGCATTTTTTGCTCTACTCCCTTCTGACATGGCGTTACCTCCTCCAATCATTCTAGAGATACCGTATTTGGAAAATCAACTTCCTGTTTTTGCACCAATACCACCATTTCCGAACTCTCCACAAGAACACCCACACCACGATAATAATTTGGGTAATGAGGACACATAATCGAAGAATAACGATCAACAAAGAGCACAAACTCCGAACATCATTAATTTGGCAAAATTCCAAAAATGGAAGGATCATGGATTATGTTATCCCTGATTTTGAGCAATTAAATTCCAGGATAGTTAGGCCACATATGATAGCCCTCCATTTCTAACTAAAACCGATCATGTTTCACATGTTGCAAATGAATGGACAATTTGCCAACTTACCTTCAGATAACCCACATTCACATTTAAAGTCTTTTATATAAATCATTGATGCTTTTCTGATCCCGGGAGTGTCCGATGATGCTCTAAGACTCACTTTATTTCCATTTTTCTTAAGGGATCGGGCAAAAGCATGGTTTAATTCATTACCGCCGGGGTCTGTGCCATCGTGGAGTAATATGGCTGAAATTTTTTTGTGAAAATATTTCCCACCAACTAGGAACGCCAAGTGCAGGAATGAGATCTATCTTTTTAAACAACTGGACGATGAAGCTGTTCCTGACGCTTGGCAATAGTTTAAGGAGCTGTTGAGGAAACGCCCACACCATGACATTCCGTGTTAAACTCAAGACATTCTACAATGGGTTAAGTCCCATGGCAAAGTAGATGCTCGATGCGACTGCAGCCGGAGCCTTCACAACCAGTACATATAATGAAGGATATGAAATCCTGGAAAAGATATCGGCAAATAATGGACATTGGGCCGACCCATGTGCCCAACCGCAGAAGAAGACTGTTGGAATACATGATGTAGATGCATACACTGCATTGACAACTCAGCTCACTTCCATGACCAACATGCTGAAAAATCTAACTTCTGGTCAGGGAGTGCTGCAAGCTACTAATACACCTATTTCAACAGTCCTCTCAGTGCAATATGTGTGTTGTGGCTGGTAACATTCGTATGAACACTGTATTCATAATTATGAATCTGTAAATTATGTTCATAATAGATCTAATCCCTACTCCAACACATACAATGCCAGTTGGAGACAGCACCCGAACTTTTCTTGGAACAGTCCCAGTTTAAATCCACCAATTCATAAACAACAGGGAACTTCTAATTTCCAACCACAACATCATGCAAACAGTTCTAACTCTCAGAATCACCAACAAAGTTTTCAGAATTCCCAACCATATTTTCAGAACAAACCTCCCCCACGAGCAGAATCATCATCCTCTTTGGAGACTATGATGAAATGGTTCATAAACCAAACCTAAACACTCATTAATCAACAAAGTGCTGCCATTAGGAATCTAGAGACTCAGGCAAGTGAACTTGCACTCAATCAGAACAATCGAGCCCTTGGTACCTTGCCCAGTAATACAGAAGTCCCTAGAAATCTAGGAAAGGAACATGTGAAGGTAGTAACCCTTAGGAGTGGAAAGGAATTGACAGAAAAAGTGCAAAAAGATAATGCACCAAGTTTGTCAAAAACTGATGCTACAGCATTGGTCCCTGCTAAGGAAAAACCAGTCCAACCTTTGGAGATGCGCGCATATGAAACCACCACTCTTGTCCCCCCTAAGATCAGACTATCCATTATTTTTTCTAGAAGATGCTCTAAAAAAGTAAGAAGGACTGAGGTTTTAGAGACTCCTAAGCTTAATGCTAGGACTCCATCTGAACCCTCAAAGTGCACCATAAAGACTCAAGGCATTCAAGACCCATCCTGTTCAACACATTCAAGCAATAATATGATAAAACCAGTTCCTCTTTATGTTCCTTACCCCCAAAGGTTAAGGAATCAGAAAGAGGAATTGAATTTCAAAAAGTTATTGGATGTGTTCAAAGAATTGAACATCAACATACCACTTGTTGAGGCAATTGAGCAAATGCCCAGTTATGCTAAGTATCTTAAGGACATCCTAAGCAAGAAGAAAAAGTTGACTGAATATGAAACTGTAGCTCTTACCGAAGGATGTAGTGCACTCTTGACCAATAGCATACCCCCTAAGCTCGAAGATCCAGGAAGTTTTACCATTCCTTGTTCAATAAGAGGGAACGAAATAGGGAAAGCCTTAAGTGACTTAGGTGCTAGCATCAACCTCATGCCTTTGTCAGTGTTTAACACCTTAGGAATAGAAGAGGCTAGACCTACCACAGTTACACTTCAATTGGCAAACAAATCCATTGCATACCCTAAAAGAAAGATTGAGGATGTGTTAATGCAAGTTGAAAAGTTCATATTTCCGGCAGATTTCATCATATTAGACTTTGAGGCTCATAAGGACATTCCTATTATTTTTGGGAGACCCTTCTTAGCCACCGAAAGAACTTTGACAGATGTCCAGAAAAGAGAGTTGACTATGAGGCTTCAAGACCAAAAACTCACAATTAATGTTTTCAACTCCTTAAAATACCCTGATTATTTGGAGGAGTGTTCAAGCATAGCTGAAATAAAGGAGATGTGCCATTAGGAAGGTGTTCAGGAAAACCTTAAGTTGAAAGAAGAGAGTATGAAGGAATTAGAAGAAGAGACTGTTGAGGAAGTAGAGGCAATAGAAAATAATAATGTGCCAGTAGATGTGTTAGCTTTTGAGCTATTGGAAAATAATGAGCAAAAAGACTTCACCCCGTCCATTGTATCACCACCTGACCTGGAGTTAAAACAGCTCCCATCCCATCTAAAATATGCTTTTCTAGGAGAAGAAGGCAAATTGTCTGTCATCATCTCATCTACCCTAGACTCGCATCAAGAGAAGAAACTAGTGGACATGTTGAAATTGCACACAAAGGCCTTAGGATAGACCATTGCTGACCTTAAGGGGATTAGTCCTCCAATTTGTCAACATAAGATCATTTTAGAGGATAAGAATTTCACATCTATAGAACCTCAAAGAAGGTTGAACCCTGTCATGAAAGAGGTAGTAAAAAAGAAAATTTTGAAATGATTAGATGCAGGAATTATCTTCCCAATAGCCAGTAGTTCTTAGGTTAGCCCAGTTCAGTGTGTTCCAAAAAAGGGAGGGTTCACAATCATCATAAATGATAAAAATGAACTTATCTTCACTAGAGTTGTATCCGGATGGAGAATATGCATGGACTATATCGTACATTAAACAAGGCAACTCAAAATGACCATTTTCCACTACCTTTCATTGATCAAATGTTGGACAGATTAGCTGGTAAAGAGTATTACTATTTCTTGGATGGATATTCAGGATACAATCAAATAGCCATCTCTCCCGAGGACCAAGAAAAAACCACATTCATATGTTCTTATGGCACTTTTGCCTTTAGAAGGATGCCATTTGGACTGTGTAATGCTCCTGCCACCTTTTAGAGATGTATGATGTCCATATGTTTAGATATGCTTGAAAAATTCATTAAAATCTTTATGGATGATTGTTCTGTATATGGTTCATCTTTCGATAACTGCTTAGACAATTTACAAAAGAGTCTTGAGAGGTGTGAGGAAACTGATTTGGTCCTCAACTCGGAGAAATGTCACTTCATGGTTAAAGAAGGAATTGTTCTGGGGCACTTAATCTCTAAAAGAGGAGTTGAGGTAGATAAAGCAAAACTCGAAGTTATTGAAAAACTACCAAAACCTACCACTGTTAAAGAAATAAGAAGCTTTCTGGGTCATGCGGGGTTTTACAGAAGGTTCATCTAGGACTTTTCAAAAATTTTAAAACCTCTATGTTTACTCTTACAGCATGACCAAAAATTTGATTTTAATGATGAATGTAGAAATGCATTCAAAACTTTGAAGAAAGCCTTAATTACTTCACCAGTGGTGGTTGTTCCTGATTGGAACAAACCTTTCAAAATTATGTGTGATGCAAGCGATTGGGCAGTTGGTGCTGTTTTAGGTCAGAGGAGAGAAAAGGTGTTTCATTCAATGTATTACGCAAGTAAAATTTTGAATGAAGCACATATAAATTACACAACAACGGAAAAGGAATTATTGGCCGTGGTTTTTGCATTTGAAAGATTTAGATCATACCTGATGGGGACAAAAGTGATTGTACACACTGACCATGCGGCCATCAAATATTTGATCTCAAAAAAGGATAAAAAGCCTAGGTTGATAAGGTGGGTGTTATTATTGCAAGAATTTGACTTGGAAATACTTGATAGGAGAGGTGTGGATAATCAAGTAGCAAACCATTTATCTAGGTTAGAAAAACCTGAGATAGGAGGAGACATTATTGAGACCTTCTCGGATGAGAGAATCTTGATTGTACAACAGCAAAAGGCACCTTGGTTTGCAGATATAGAAAATTTCTTAGCTTGTGGCTTCAAACCATCTGAATACACAAGCCACATGCTTAAGAAATTTTTTCATGATGTCAAGTCTTATTTTTGGGATGACCCTTTTTTGTTTAAGATTGGTGCAGATCAACTTTTAAGAAGGTGCATTCCAGAATCTGAGGTAGCAAAAGTTTTGTATCAGTGTCACCAAGCTCCTTATTGAGGACATTTTGGAGGGCAAAGAACTGCTGCCAAGGTCTTACAATCTGGTTTTTATTGGCCAACTCTTTTCAGTGATGCCCATAACTTTGCACAAAGGTGCAATGAATGCCAAAGAAGTGGTTCCATTTCTAAAAGGAATGAAATGCCACTACATGGGATCCTGGAAGTTGAGTTATTTGACGTGTGGGGAATAGATTTTATGGATCCTTTCCCCCCATCAAACAAATGCCAATACATACTGGTTGCTGTGGATTATGTCTCAAAATGGATGGAAGTTGTGGCATGTGTTTCAAATGATGCCAAGACTATGGTTAAGTTCCTCCAAAAGTAAATTTTTACACGGTTTGATACCCCCAAATCTCTAATAAGTGATGAGGGTACCTACTTTATAAATAATTTGCAAAGTGGAAATACAATGTTAACCATAAAATCGCCACAACATATCACCCATAGACAAATGGTTTAGTAGAACTTTCCAACAGGGAGATAAAAAGTATTTTGGAAAAAGTTGTCAAACCTAACAGGAAGGATTGGGCATTCAAGCTAGATGATGCTTTATGGGCATACAGAACCGTTTTCAAAACACCAATTGGTATGTCCCCATATAAGCTAGTCTATGGCAAGGCTTGCCATCTTCCTTTAGAGCTTGAGCATAAAGCATATTGGGCAATAAAAGAGTTAAATATGTCTTTAAAAGATGCTGGTCTGAAAAGGAAGCTACAACTCTGTGAAATGAATGAACATAGGCAGATGTCATATGAGAATGCCAAGCTCTATAAAGAAAAAATAAAAAGTTGGCATGACAAGAGAATACAGCACAGAGAGTTGAGAAAAGGCCATCATGTTATCCTGTTTAACTCTACGTTGAAATTATTCCCAGGAAAACTTAAGTCTAGATGGTCTGGGCCTTTCTTGTTTGTAAAGTATACCCTTATAGAGCAGTAGACTTAGTCAACCCAAAAGATAACTCTATTTTCAAAGTAAATGGGCAAAGAGTGAAGGTATACCATGATTCAGTATCATTCTCAGAACACCACTCTGAGAGCTTTGCTACACCTTGCTAAAAGCTTCAAAAAACCCCCTGGACTTCTTAAAAGTCCAACTCTATTTGTAAATAAGTTTTAAAGTTG